GGGGATCTGACGGGCCTGACTGAGGTGGCGGCAGGTGCCGGGGGGTTTAACACCGCCTTGAGGGTCTCTGAGGTTCTTCTCCAGCTGCTGTCGCGGCTCCCCCTGCGAGGGGTTGTGTTTTAGAGCAGCTTTGGTTAGCGGTTGCTGCTGGAGGCCTGACGCTTGCAGGGGGGGCATTAACACAGAGCTGTGGTGTCCCGTGTGTCATCGTATAATTGCGTTTGTCCCTTAGGTCCTGCTCTTCTGTTTGTAAAGACCAGCCAAGGAAAAGAGGAGGGAAGAAGATTTTATGCTTGTTCAGCTTGTAGAGATAGGAAAGATTGTAACTTTTTCCAGTGGGAAGATGAGAAGGTAAGAGAGCACTGTCTGAGACTGTGGTAAATATTGTTTTTTTCCCCCCATCTATTTAACAGAAAATTTTTAAAGTATGTTTTGTTCTGGAAGTCTTTAGCAATTACTATTTTATAAACTTTGCCTAAGAGTTTGTATTTAGCAGAGCACGCACTTCTGTGAGGAGAACATGTTTCAGGTATAACTTTCACAGAAGGCTGTGTACATTTTGAGCAAAACTGGCGTTTGTTACTGTACTGCCAAAACACTTAGGTATTCAAGTTACGAAGGTTGCCAATACTGTGCAATGTTGAACAAAATAGGATAATTCCGATCCCAAGATGTCCTCATCTTCCATGATTAAGACAGGGAAAATCTTGTGGATACAGGCAAACAATGGGATATACAAAATGGTGAGATGGTGGGGATCAGCGTGATTCTCATTAGTCTCAGACTATCAGCACCAATTTCTTTTCACCTAAAGAAGTTTGGTCAGTTAATTGTAGGGTAGCAAAATTTGGACTGATATGTATTCACAGAGAGCTTACCGCTGTGCTTGTCCACTATAGTTTTTGTTACTTTTTCTGTTTCCCAAGTGAGTATCTTGTGTTGTGGTCATTGTCCTCAGCAGGTTGGCAGGCTGGAATTTAATCAGGTTTGCAAGCGTTTCATTGCTGTGCTGGTTACTATTGAAAAGTTGTATAAAGTGAAAATGAGATAGTCAGTCACTTGGTTGTGTAGGTTTAAATGGTATTCCTAGTGAAATTTCATTTTAAATGTCACTTGTATCGTGACGTCTTTTGTCCTATTGAATTTTACTGTCTCCCCCTTTAAACAAATCAGTTCCATAACTTTTGCTCAAATATCTTGAAACTGTTAACTGTAAAACCATTAAGTATGTTTTGTGGGAACAAAGTAGAAGACTCAGAGAAGAGCTGTCACGCTTTTGAAATAATCACACACACAAGACTTGAGCAACATTTCTACTGTCCTCAGTTGTGCAGGATCTGATCACAGTTCTTCAGAGGGAATGCAACTGCTGGCATGCATTAATGGAAAGTATACCTGTTTCGATCTTCACCATAATCTTGTTTTGACTTTTTCCTTGAGTATTACACGTGATAGAATAATGAAATGCTTCTATTTATTTTTTGCACAGTTTAAATTCATAATGAGAGACTTCTGTTGTTATGCAGCATGCCTCTGTGCTGCAGTAATGCTTGGTCTTCTGAAATAATAATCCAAAGAATATAATAGTTTTTCTATGCAGAGTAACTAAAGCATGAGACCTTTGATGCACTTTTTTGTTTAATATTGAGTTTTAATGTATGATACAGAGCGATATCTGTTAATTTTCTAACTTTTTATATATATAAATTTTACAGGTGTCAGAAACTAGGAGTGCAGCACGTGAAGAATATAATAGAAATCATCAGCCTTTTTTTACACACAGACAGAATGTGGAAAGGTATTTTTGTGTGTATTTTCTTCAGTAAAACTCAAGTAATGCAAGTTTAGGTACTCTGAATGTAGAGATAATATTTCAGGATTCTTTAAGATATGAAAACATGCCAGAGGGATTTTGAAAAATAAGAACTGGTTGACTGCAATGGGAAGACAGCATAAAACATCTAATTAGAGCATGGTATTTTCAGCCCATTTTTTGTATATATGTATATGTTAGTGCTCATAATGCGCTAACAAGAAGTTAGTAGCAGTTTCAGTTCAAAAAATTGTCCTTGACTTTAGTGTCCAAAGTAACGGGCTTAACATAGTGAAAAGAAGCAAAGGTAATACAGTAATAAATAATGTCTGAGTTTTGTGTATAAATGTACAGGACTGCTTGCTGGTAGTTGAATATTTTTTGTAAATATTACTTGTTCACTTGTAGATAGTTGAGTTTTGTATGGAGTCTTCACTCCGTGATCCAGTTATTTTATGGGGACTCTCATTTGGCCAGTGTAGTGTATGTTTGCTTTCAGGGGAGCCTCTTTCAAAGTGTCCTTTGAATATTTTTTGTAAATATTACTTTGTTCACTTGTAGATAGTTGAGTTTTGCAAGACCAGCTTAAACTACATTGCCTGTTTAAATTGAACTTTTACAAAATATGAAACCCCCTTAATAGCTTCCCTTCCCATCTTTTATAGAGGCATTTTCAAAGTTTGTTCCCTATTGTCTTTTGTATTTAAAGGTACAAGAATTTTGTTCTGTTGCCGTTACCAAAGAGGAGGTTTTGCCAGGAATAAAAAAAATGCCAGCAATTGCTATTGCCAGCTGAATGGGAAAAACACTCAGATCACCAGTTCCTGTGTGATATCTCCACTGCCCAGTTAAAAAGTCCCAGTCAACTTCTGTATCCACTGGAGAATAAAAAAACGAATGCACAGTATTTATTTGCAGACAGAAGTTGCCAGTTCCTACTGGATCTTATTATTGATTTAGGATTCCGGCGAGTGCTCTCTGTTGGAACACCCAGGTACGTCGGTGAGAATTGTTACACTTTCAGATAATGTTTCTGTCTCAAAGCTGTGCAGCTTACTAGTATTTAAATAATCAAGGATTCTCTGATAATAAGAGGTTTGCTCTGCTTTAATCAGTTGGGATTATCCAAGCATCTAGTGGGGTCTTGCTTTGAGCTCATAAGATACAGGAGAAGACTAGCTGCACTGCAAATAACACACACACACATATATACACACTTGGAATGTCTTGCTTTCTTACAGAAGTGACAATGAGTTTCTTTGCTTATGTTTGGGGTTTTTTTGTTCATTGTGATCCAGTAGGCTCCACTGCCTTTTCATCTTTTACAACTAACATGTTTTTCTAACTTTGAATATTAGCCAATCAGATTACTCCATTTTCTCTATCTGTTTGGTTTTAGGTTTAGTAAAGTACCAGGCATTCTTGTCTTGCAAGATAATTTCTGAAGCCAATGATTATGTGTTAAATTTCTTTGCTCCAATTATACTTCAGGCTTCATGAAATCATCCAGTCAAAAGCATCACAAGAAGAAGATTTCAGGGTTAGAAGCCTTCTGCTAGATATTGATTTCAGGTAGGTTTTGATAAATATTTATCTGTCTGAAGATTAGGTACAAAGATTTGTGTTCCTACTGCTTTAAAAGAGAAATTGGTGGTTGTTTTCCCTTTCCTGTCTCTGCATCTCTGTTCCTGCACACGTACACAGATGACATCCAGTTTATGAGAAAAGTAATTATACTTAATAATTCCCAGTATTGGTATGCGTTGTCAATCATCAGAACCCAAAGATTTTCGTTTTTGTAAGGCCTTGTTTTCACTGTAAATGCCCTTTAGGGCAGGCAAGAAGTTGTCTATATTTATCTATTACTTAAAACTTATTTTACAGGTATTCACAGTTTTATGCAGAAGATGAATTCTGCCACTACAACATGTTTAACCATTATTTTTTTGGTGGAGAGGTAAGGCCAAATATTTCTTGAGTGCTTTGTAAAGAAGTACGTGTTGTTAATGCAGAATTTTTAAAGTCATGGCTAGTATAGTAGAAAACAACTATCATGAGATAAGTGGTCTACAGTAGTGGAAATCAAAGAATAACAGTGCCTCTTCAGTAATTTTCTCCCCCACTTGGTTCAAAGATAAAGTTACCTATTAAATTTATGCTAACTAATGTTACTTACATGCCTTAACTACTGCTTTTATTAAAACGACCATTTGGTGTGAAATGTCGCCTTATGTAAGTATTCATTAGCCCTTTTCTTGTGTTGCTACAGCAAAATTAATTACGTTCTCCCCAGCCTTTACAAGCCCAATGGATGCCATGGGACTTGTTCACTGGTACTTGAGGTGGGAGGGAAGAAGAGGTTTTCCGGCTTTATTCCAGGCAAGCAAGGTCACAAGGTTAACCTTCTTGTCATAAAATGAGGTTGAATTAGTGTCATGGTTAAAAAAAAAAAAGTTGAATTTCTTGTTTCTTTTTAAATGTCACGTTAAGTGCTTAATTTTGAGGTCATTGAGTTCATTCAGGAAACTGGCTGCTTCAGTAGGATATTTATTGTAGCTTTGTACAAGGAATCACAGTGTAATTCAATTCCAAATGTTAATTTCAAACGTATCCCAATAGTTTGCTCACTCTTTGCTCTTCCCCTGCCATTATTAGTAAGCCACCACTGATTTGCATAAACATGTCTATTGTTATACCTTTCACACTATATAGACAGTTTTCAGGTTTTTAATATTCTAAAGCCTAATTTTGAATAGGATCTTGAAAATAAAAAGAATCGTCTAGAATGAAATGGGAAGCTGGTTTGAAAGCCTTATGTTTGAATTTTTTTATCCATTACTGTATTCAAGTTTTATATTTTTCCATTAAAACAAAAGACTCTTGATCTGCATTAATAACACTGCAGTGTTCTTTTCAAGGTGTGAAAAGGTGACACCTTTTGTGTCAGTGATGGCACTGTATTGTAGCCTGAACTTTGCTTTCTTGCTATGAATAACATCATCTTTCCAAGTTAAATTTAGTACCCTTAGGAAGACGACTGTCTTAGGAAGCTTGAACTGCATCTGCCCTTGATACGTTATCTCTAACTGAACAGGGCACTTGTTTTCAGTGCTTCAAATCTAGATGTTTGTTTTGGTTTTTTTTTTTTAAATGCTACACAAGAGGAAATTCACCTCCATGACAGGAAATAACTTCCATGTTCAAAGTTGAAACTTCTAAAATAATCGGGGTTTTTTGCCAAATACAATATTTTTACAGTTCTTGAATCTATATTTCTGGAAATTAACCTCTGTTTCTTTCAGGCTGCACGTGAAACTTGTCAGAAATTCTTGTATCAAGACAATGGTGAAAGAGTTATTATGGTAACCGATCCCCCATTTGGAGGTCTAGTGGAAGCACTGGCTTCTAGTTTTAAAAAACTGATGGCAATGTGGAAGGAGACAGAAGAAGAAGGTATATATTACAGCCAGATTGGTGGGTTGAGCTGTAACATCACTGTAAGAAAAAGTACATGTTTAAAAGTCTGTGATTCTTGCTACTCAGGTGAATGTGAACACACTTGTGTCATAATTTCTAAAGATGAACTACGTCTATCTAATCTCCTGGTGCTTTTAGTTTAATAATACCCAATTCTTTAAGTCTCTCATAAAAATTTTTACAAATTGTTTAGAAATCTGCTTTGCAATTAAAATGAACTTCAAAGGCAGAGAACAGTAAGCTATCAAACCAGTACCATTTCATACCACCAGTGCAGGCAGGTGACAGGAGTTGTTAGTTAGGTGGAGTGTACAGCGCCACCTATATGAAATATACCAAAACTTGCTGTCGCCTAAAAGAACTATTTCTTATGCCCAGCATGACATACATACACATGTTAATATATATGCGGTAAAGTTTTCATGCTTCATGTACCTTGTTTTTCTTTAATGTACATCTGTGTCTTTTCATTACCAGGTCATAACAGACAAGAGATGCCCATGTTCTGGATATTTCCATACTTCTTTGAGTCTCGTATTCTGGAATTTTTCCCGAGCTTCAGTATGATGGATTACCAGGTATAACTGAACCCAGTGAATCTGCTAAATTTCAGTCATGTGCAACGTGAACAGGAATATGAATGGAAGCGGATATAATGGTAGCACTTGTCTGTGGATGGGCCGCCTTTTTGAACTTTTAATTTTGACTGCATTGGAGGCACTGCAAACCCTGTGGTGCTCATCATGTGAACCCCAGGTTCTGTATTTGTATTAGTCATACTTTTAATAACTTTGTGACATTCCTGCAGTTCATTACGTACCTTTAACTCATTTGTCCATTAACTCATTTCTTCTGCCCGGTTTTCAGTGTGACAAAATTTGCACCAATTTCAACAGGTGCGTATTGCAGAGGTGAGAGGTAACTTGATGATGAGTGTTTTGTTTTTCCTAAATGTTGAAATGTCAGTAGCTTGGTGGGTGATGCCCATCCCCGGTCAACAAAAATAATTAAGGTCTTTCATCACCAGAACTGCTGGGACCAGAGTAGAATAAAAGCAATGCAAATTCTTGGGATTACATAATAAATTGTCAGTGATAAAGCAATGAACTGGCATCAACTTCTCCAATATTGTATCGATTCTGTAAATTGTTTAAGAATGCATACATCAGTGACTTTTGAGAGACCAATCATAGGTGTTCATGATGTTAAAGTTTGATTTTCTTATATAACAACTCTGCATAATATTTGACATGGGTGTTCCTTCTGGACAACATATTTGTATCTTGTAAAATGGAAATTTGGTGAAGAAAATTGGGAACTTGTGCTG